ACTTGTAACTATGACCAAATGGCAAAAACTTGATTTTCAAAATGTGCGAGGAACTGCTACAACCCAGCACCAATGCAGAGTAAGTCATTTCAAAAATAACTACTTCGTGTTTGACCCTACTGACAGGGGGCTCGTCATAATTAGGTGCACGATTGTTGCTCATTTAACGGTGGTTGGGTACTTCTTGTTAACACTGTCAGAGATTAAGTATTTAAATAATTAAATGAAGAAATTTATTTTAATAAACTAGTATTTCTGAACTTTAATCGAAAGCCAGTGATTATATCGCTTTTGAAACTTCTTCTGAAGAACACCCTAGTACTTTTAGAAGTACTACGTGTACTTTAAGAAAAAAATTTTATCGGTATTATTTTATCTTCAGCTTTGTGCTTCGAAGTTTCAAAGTACATCTCTGGGTAGATTCTGCTGTTGGACGAGTATTTTATTCGTACCTTGGTTTTTTTCGACTCAACATCGTCAAAGCACAGTTTCTCAAAATAACGTAGTGCAAAAAGTTTTGTTTGGAGTACACGAAACACTTAAATTTCTTTGTGACTCTCACAGACATTTAGTGCTTGAACTGTTTCTCACTGCTCATGGCAAATATCAGCATCTTTAGTGCAATGATGAAAACAACGTCCAAGTTTACACACAGCGCTACTCGAACAGGAGGTACTTTTTCAGCAAAATATGAGCCGTTTTTTCTCAGATTAAAATAAGCAGCAACACAGATAGTCATGTATACAAAGAGCACAGGAACATAAAGCTGATATTCACAGCGGTCACATAATGCTCAACTAATCGTGCCATTAAAGCGATCATTTTGATGTACTGTTCAGTATCGTGGACTCGTCAATGGTAACTGGATTTGACAGTCTTTCTTGAGCTGAAGTTCAGCCGGTGTCTAAAAGTTTTTCATCCGGATTTGTAGTTAGAGTGCAAACGTTGCTTGAAAGACATAAGGAGGTCAGCTGGGTTTGGAAGTCAATGCTTCCTCAGTCAACTGATCCTGCTTCTCAGCCGTTCTCCGCGAGCGATGAATTTAGACGATGAAAATCACCATTTTTTAAAATAAAAATTAACTACAGAATTGTGGGCTTATTAGAAACTGCTAGTTTTAAAACCAATGGTAAGATTTCTGAAATATATCGGTCAATTCTCATAATTCACACGGTGTAATTACACCGTCCCCTTGCTTCCACTGGTCTATGGGTCCGTTTCAGTAGGTCATGCAGGCGCAGCAGTTGTGCCTCTACACTGCAGCTGACGAAATACCGTTGAGCCGTGGCCTACATGAACGTTTTCCTTCTCTACTGGAAGGAATGGGACAGTGAGATTACGCCGTCTAAATCCTGAGCAGTTTTTCTTGGTTGTCTGATTTTTGGTACTACAGCTGGAGGGCTTTTTTGCCAATTAAATACTCTGAACATCGATAATCAGGTATCAGTAAGCTGATACATGCAAATGTCTCAATCTAGTCTTTCCGTCTATGTTTGTAATCACAGTATTTCTCTGAGAGAGGTTTGCCTTTAAGTAAGAAAGATCAGCCCGTCGTCGTTAATTGCGTGGTGATTCATCGGCTGGTATTGTGTTTTGCGTCCTAATTTTCGTTTCCCTTTGCCTCATCTTAATCTCTCTTCCCCCTCCTGACTAATAAAAGAAGAGAACCGACGACTTATATGCAATGATACTGCTTGAAGAAGATTATGATTAATGATTTTCATTAAAGATTAAATTTCGTGAGCCTGTGACTTCAGCGACATGTTATTGTGCACCATAACATTTAGCGCAAGTTGGGGGTTGCCGACTTTTTGCAAGTCTATCCTTAATCTGATCATATTGATAATCTAAACTTGTTGATTTGTTGTATGTTTACCAGTAAGTCTCTGATCTTCACATAATTTTGAGTTCTTTCTTTTACCACTTTATTTCTTAAGTTTTCCGATATACTTCTGAAGGTTCTGTTTGATATCGATGTGTATGCTGGTGACTTGAGATCTGACCATTTTAGGACAGCATTCGCATTTCCCATGACTGTGACTGTGTCATAGTACTGTACGATGTCACGGATATGGAAAGCTATAGCCGAGCGGCTGACTGTTTGTACAACATCAGCAGGGCACTGGTCGACAGCGATAAGATACCAGTGGTATTGGTGGGCAACAAGATCGACTTGATGCGCAATCGTGCCATCACCGAGCAAGGTTAGTGAATGCAGAAAAAGTTTATGACAGCGTGCCATGTCGTGTTACTTGTAAAGCGATGGCGACATGGCTCGATGAAATGGGTCTGAACCAAAACATGTTCAGAACTCACGGCTAAGGAGGTCACACAGTCCAGTGTATGTAGCCCGTCGTATAATAAATGAATGAGTGAACGAATAACCAGGCGAGGTTAACGAGTAAATGAATGAACGACTGAATGCATCCATGAATGACTGGATTAATGGAGTGAACAAATGAATGAAATATTGAACGAATTATGAATTATTAAACGAACGGATGAGTCGAGTGACTTAACGCACAACTGAATGAGTAACGCAACGAGTGTGAATGATTAAAGGCAGGTTTGAATGAAAGTAGGAGCAAGCGAATCAGAGATGATTAAATGAATGGGAATGAATCGAAATCGAAATCGGGATTATTACACCTTGATCATTACACCAGATAGTCTGCTATGAGGAATGGTTAAGGCGAGGTGCAGCCACAAGGGGCACGCATCGCACAGTATGGCCAGACATGTCTCTCATTACGGTATGAACATGCCAGAACGGTATTCTGGATTGTACCTTACTGTACCTATCCTTCGAAAGTCAGCGACTTAAAGCCTGTTTCTAATCTGATTGCATCGAAGCGGCATGGAATAAATCTTCGGTTTTCTGCTTCTAAATTATAATCCGTCTGAAACAAGCGCCCAGAAAAACAAACTATCCATTCTTTCGTTTGCTACATACAGTATACGTGTGTAAGTGCATATAAACTGTAAAAGACGGTTGTTTTCTGTCTGACTCAGACCAAGCAACGAGAGATTCAAATTCATTCAGACCTCGGCCGCCTAAAATTGAAAACAGTTTACAACGAGTTGTTTCACCAAGCCTCGGTATTTGTTTGAGAAATGGAAATTGCTTACTTTGCTAGCAAGTTCTATGACACTTGTTGTAAGATGTACAACTCGTTGTTATTGCCTGACGGCAAGCCATAATAAGAAGGTCTTAACAGCAAGGGACGCAGCAGAAAAATTGCGAAATTGACCGAGGTTACTAAATGCAAACGCGTTGCTAAGTGCAAATGTCATAACTGCTTTCAGACCAACCAATTGTAGCATTCCTGTAGGTAGAGTACAGGCTGGAATAATATTGGTTAAGGAAATTTATGCCAGATTGATTACTGTAATTCGAATTACCTTGACATGTGCTCAATATAGCATCTTTTCATATATCCTGAACAAGCTTTCATCCGTTGACGCGCAGCGAGTTAGGTTGTCAGTTGTAAAAGTGACTGAGACATGGCTAAATGAAATGAGTCTCAAAAGACAGGAACTTTCAGTGAAGGAGGTCACATAACCCGGTGCAAGACGAAGCAAAATGACAAGCATCCTCGAATCCTGAGGCAAATTTTTAGGAACAGGCCAAGACATTTTAAACGTGCCCAACTGAAAGTAAATTCTTGAGATACTTCCGTTTAATGCCAAAGAATGCCTTATTGGATTATGACGGTAAATTTGTGTTTGTTTGCTTTAATCAGTTGCAATCATCATCTCTGATTCGAAACGATTAAACGTTATACAGAGATGTTAACCTTTCGTTGATCTGTTGGGCTAGAGTAATTATCTAATTCTCTACCGCTCTCAGATGGTAGAACTGATCTACATATGACTACTTTAGTTCCCCCTAAATCATCCTATACAAATATCGTCGATGCATCACAGGTAACCCTGATTGTTATCTTACTAATGAACAGACTTTTATATGAGGTGAAAGGTAGCCGCTGGTCAAAAAATATGATAATGACCAAAAAATAACCCCATGTCATCTACACAGTTGACTCTGCCATCCGTTAGATTAAATGATGTGATAAATCTGAATACTTATAATTCCTTTCAGCCAAGTGATGTGCGAATGCCCAAGGTTATTCTTAATGGAAAGAACATTATGCATCTATATATAGAGCAGTTCCAAAACCTTTAAAGAATCATGAAATCGGGTTTACACAACGCAATCTGTCGGAGGATAGCTGGGATAATCGAAACCAGCGTTGCTTGGCTCCGTATGAACAAGCTGGTGAAAGCGATCTTTAAATCAACACAGATTATTGCATCATGTACATTGAAGAAGGATCATAAGGAGTTTGCCGAAACGTCGATATTCGTCTTTCACCTCTTAAATCACGTCGTAGCTAAACCGTTACCGGTGACACTCAAAACTTCTTAAGGTTGTTCTGAGGATTGAGAGACGGGAACTCGGCTTTCGTAATTGCTGATTTCAATTGTCTAAGGTTTAAAGGAGTGCGAAACTATGTTCATGTGCGACAGTTCATCTCTGCGACCCGAGAACCAATTTTGTAAAATCATCAGAAAAGTAAAAACGGCACGGACACTTTTGGAAAGCTAAAAATATTCCTATCTGAGAATTTGTCCTTGTGTTCAAGCGAATATTTTCGATCACTGTGTCCTCCCGGTGCTAACCTGTGGATGTGAAATGTAAACCTAATCCTGAAACCTAACGTGAACCACAGTGAAAGATAGGTTACGAATAACAAGAAAAGTAGGAAGTACGAATGAATGGGTCCTGAAGAATCCGGCTTAAAATTTGAAACCTCCGTTATATTGCGTGCATCGTCAAATAAATCAGATATGAAACACGGTTTGAAGTTTGAACGAAAATTTCCATAACGGAAAGTTACTGTGGACTTTTTAAAATCCTAGTGTCACTCTTGACTACTGTTTGAAGCTGTGGCAAAGTGATAACCAGCCTACCTCTGATAGGTGGTATCGTGTAATACGATTAAAACCACCATTCATATTTTAAGCTATTTTAAGCTTTTATGATCAATAATATTATTTTTTACAGTCAGTCCTGATGTTTCCACTCCGCAGAAAGAGGGTCAATCAAAATAGGCCATTATGAGACATAGTGAAATTAATTATAACACAGGTTATGTCCTCAACTGCACCGGTAGCCACGAAAAATCAATCAAGAGCCGTACATTAGTCGAATATCGTGGCAATAAAAATCGGGTTGAAATAAACAGCATTGCAAATATTTGTTTCCTTTTAAAGCGAATCTATCTAAAATCAGATTAAATGAAAACTTTGATTGAAACAGAAACAGAAACTGGAGTCGAACATGCTAATGTTTAAAGAATGCGTAATAAAAGCTTTTAATTATATCGTCTATCGGTGGATGATGACCCAGGCACCTCATCGTGGTGTGGGAGTGACAACGGCAAAATATCTCTGGCCGGCTAAGCTCGGGCG